TATAACAATAGACATGAGATGCAAGCTGTGGGGGGGAAGCCACCCTCTTGTCAAGACCCTCAGAAACTTCATCTGGACTATTTCAGGGTTGCTGGACAAGTCTAGACATCAAATGTTCTGTGAACATCCTTGGGATGGTCTTGTTCATTATGGGTTCAGCATGATGGTCACAAAGCTATAGCTGACAGACAGATGTGTGTGCACTTATCTAACACTTTGGACGAGGCTTCAGAGGAAAAGATGCCCCCTATCACCACCAAGGTGTGATAAAATTTATTTTTGACTATTTAAATGCAAATTCTTGAGCAAAAATATTAAAGAACCAAACCAAAGCCACCACTAACACCCCTGGTTGCTTGCTTCTCACTGTCACTTGCTTCCTTCTTGAAAAAGCCACCTCTTCTTCAATCACAACCATCCCCAATGAAAACCCTGCCTCGGCCTGGTGTGGTGGCACACGCCTCTAAACCCAGAAATCAAGAGGCAGGGGGGTTTCTGTGAGTTCAAGGCCAGCCTGGTCTACAAAGAGAGTTCCAGGACAGCCAAGGCTGTTATACAGAGAAACTCTGTCTCTTTATCGGTTTTGATGGTATGCTATGGGCAGTTTTCCAGCCAGCCTGGTCCCGCATCAGCCCCAAATAACACACGGAGATGCTATATTAGATATAAAGCTATTGGCCTGTTACTAGTGTTTCTTATTGGCTAGCTCTGTCTTAAATATTAACCCATTTCTATCAATCTAAGTGTTTCTACGTGGTCTTATCTTACCAGAGAGAGGGTCCATAACTCTTCCTCTCAAGTCCCTACATCTTGACTCTCCTCTACTACCTCTCCCAGAATCCTCCCTGTCTCCTAGCCCCGCCTATTTTGCCTTCCTACTTGCCAACAGTGCTTTATTCATTACCAATAAGAGAAACATATTTACAGAATGACATCTCCCATCAATGGTATCTATAGCTTTTCTTCTCCTGTGGAAACAAAAGCAAAACCTATTCCCCAATGTAACACATGTCCTGGTTTCCATTCTGAGGTCAACAGATCTTTAAAATATACTGATTTAGTGCCGTGTTTTTTGTATTTTTTTTTAATCCAATGCAAACCTGCAACTACTGTTCCCTTTTCATTAGCATTTAAAAAATTTAGTCAATAAAGCATTGTGCAATCTATCTCTGGACATCATTCTTACCCCTTTCTGTTTATTAAGCATATCTTTTAAAGTGCAATTAAATCTTTCTATAACTGCTTGTCCTGTAGGATTATGTGGTATACCTGTAATATGCTTTATGTTGTAATATGAAAAAAAACTGTTTCATTTTACTAGAGACATATGCTGGAGCATTGCCAGTCTTAATTTGTACAGGTATTCCCATGATGGCCATAACTTTTAATAGATATGCAATTATGTCAGCCTTTGTAGAACTCAAATCAGTTGCCCATTGAAATCCTGAATATGTATCTATAGTATGGTATATACGTATTTTAATTTTGCAAACTATAAAGTGAAACACATCCATTTGCCAAATTTAATTTCTTTGAGTACTTTTTGGGTTAATTCCACAGGTAGTGGAATTTGGTTGTATAAAGAACAAGTAGGACATTTCTTTACAATTTCTTTGGCTTGTTGCCTAGTGATGGAAAATCTTTTTCAAATCCTTGTTATTAATATGGTATTTCTTATGAAATTTTGAAGCTTTTAGCACATTTCCTACCTATAGCTAGTCAATTTCATAATTACCTTGTGCTAGAGGGCCTGGTAGACCTGTATGGGATCTGATGTGTGTTATATACAAGGGATGATTTCCATTTCTGATTACTTGTTATAGCTGAATAAACAAAGTTAATTCTGAATCATTTGGAATAAGTTCAGCAGTTTCAATATGTAAAACAACTTCTGTATATTGAGAGTCAGTAACTATATTAAAAGGTTCAGGAAAATCTAATAATAAATTCTATCTTTTGAACAGAATCATAAGAGCTTTGAGGCACTTTACTTAAATTTCTTGATTTATAACCTGCCTTTCCTGATTTATTTACATCAGCATAGAATGTAGGGGCTCCAGATATTGGTGTTTCCCATACAATGTGAGGAAGGACCAAATTGGTTCTTTTTATAAATAAGTCTCTTGCTTTTGGAATATTTGTTGTTAACCTCTTCCGAAAAATTACTGAAAGATCTTTGCCAGTGTTCGTTTTTTTGCCCATAAAGAGAAAATTTCAGCATTAGTAAAAGGTACCACAATTTCTGTTGGGTCCATTCATTTTAATTGACAAAACCCAAATTTTTCTTTTAGAATTAATTCAGAAACCTTTTCTACATTGGTCTTTAATTTTCTGCTCTGATTGTATGGCAAAAACATCCATTCCAGAATATTATCTTCTCCCTACATAAGAATTCCAGTAGGAGAATGGGTAAAAGGTAGAGTAACTAAACTAGGGCACAATCCACTTCTGGATCCAAGTGATCCACATACACATCTTGTAATTTTTTTCTCTACCAGAGCCAATTCTCTCTCAATTTCAGCGATAATTTTCTTGGATTATTTAAGTTCTTGTCACCTTGTAAGATTTTAAATAAATTACTTAGTTCTTGATTTGTTAATGTCCCCCAGTAGTTTTTGAGTCGTTCCTGATTCTTCAGTCTTATGCCAAGGTTTTTTTTGTTGTTTGTTTTTGTTTTTTGTTTTTTTTTGTTTGTTTGTTTGTTTTGGTTTTTCGAGACAGGGTTTCTCTGTGTAGTCCTGCTGTCCTGTCCTGGAACTCGATTTGCTGATCAGGCCGACCTCAAACTCAGAGACATCTGCCTACCTCTGCTCCCAAGCTCTAGGACTGAAGGTGTGAAACACCACTGCTTGTATCTTTTCAATAGTAACTTTTTCTAAGGTTAGCAAATTATCAGTCACCTTTTTTGCTCTTTTCATTGGTAAATATTACTGAAGCTTTTATATTATCTATCAAAATTGTATTATTCTTCTTAGTAATTATTTGTAAGGCTTGCATATAATCAGTAATAGCCTTCTCTAAAGCCTGTATCTTATCAGTCAATTTCTCATATTTTTTTTTCAAGACAGGTTTTCTCTGTATAACAGCTCTGGCTGTCCTGAAACTCACTCTCTAGATCAGGCTGGCCTGGAACTCAGAGACATCAGCCTGCCTCTGCCTCCCAAGTCCCAGGATTAAAGGCGTGCAACAACAACACCCAGCTTTCAAACCACTCTTTTAAGGATACAATTCGAATTACCAGACTGATAATAATATGGCTGACATTTTATCAATCCCACATAAGTTGTTCCTCCCATTTAGCTTTTTCTATTTGTATCCCGTCCATAACATCAGTGAACAGGGTCCTAATTCCCTGCATTGTAATATTGCCAATCTTTAACTTGGGAAAGGTTTTTAAATTGTCCTTTCTGGTCTGGAGAGATGGCTCAGAGGTTAAAAGCACTGGCTGCTCTTCCCAAGGTCTTGAGTTTGATACCTAGCAACCACATGGTGGCTCACAACTATCTGTAATGAGATCTGATGCCCTTCTGGCATTCAGGCAGAGCACTATATTCATAATAAATAAATATATAAGAATAAAAAAGTTGTTCTCTCCCTTTATTTTTTTTACCTTACTAAAACAATTATTTATTAATAGCCTAGTTTACCATTTAAAAAGCCCCAAATATCTCACTAGTTGTGATGCTGCTCATCAGAGGGTTGAGCTGTAGTCTTCCCTGGAGGCATGGGTTACGAGAAGATATTTATATGTAGTGACGATATTTGACCAGCAGGTGGAGAAGGTACAGCACCAAGGTAGCTCAGGCTCAACATGCTCAGCAACTGCTCAAAACAACTGACCAGACTGCTCAGTCCTCGTGCGGAGCAGAGCCCATATGGGGATGGGAGATGGCACATCAAGCGATGCTCAAGGACCAGAACTTGCCCAAGCGCACATCAAGCGATGCTCAAGGACCAGAACTTGCCCAAGCGAGCCAAGCAGAACAGCTTCGAGAAGACTCCTGGTGGCTACAAGGGCCCTGACAGCGGAGCAGGCAGGCGAGGAGAGTGCTGGCTTAGGGAGCTCCAGGGACAAGGAGCAGGAGCACACACTGACAGCTCCAGAGCGCCGGAGCCTCCCCACTTTGGGCATCAAATGATAAAAATATCCTTATGTTTTATTTAAATGGAAAATATCATGTACATATATTAAAGAACAAAAGGGGGAACTGACCCGAATTACAAACCACTACTCACACCCCCAATAGCCCGCTTCCTCGCTTGAAAAGTCCTCTTCCTGGGCCCATCCCCAATGAAAACCCCGCCTCTTAGACCCAATTGCTCCTCTCAATTGGCTAGTGGACCGGTGACAATTCCCGTAACAAAGGTGGCTACAGTGCCACACCTCCCTCTGATCTGGACTCCTTGGAAAGAAATCAAGAAGCTAGCAGGTGGTGGTAGTGGTGGTGCACACCTTCAACCCCAGCACTAGGGAGGCAGAGGCAGGCAGATCTCTGTGAGTTCGAGGCCACCAGCCTGGTCTACAGAGCAAGTTCCAGGACAGGCTCCAAAGCAACACAGAGAAACCCTGTCTCAGGACAAAAAAAAAAAAAAAAAAAAAAAAAAAAAAAGGGCAGGAGACACAAACCCCTATTTCAGTGATTGAATCAAATTTTTTCTTTCTAGAAACCTATAAATTAAAACTGACAGATATTTTTATAATAAAAAAATATTATTTAAAAGAAAATGCAATTTTCTGGCAAAAATCAAAGAAATCTTTCAGACACCATAAGCAAGCATCAGGCTAGGCTCATGACTTGGCCCCACCCCCTGAGATGTGAGTTTTGGAGACACAAGAGCATGGAAACAGATTGGTCCCCAGAGGAAGGGCTAGATGGCTAGGATTTCCAAATGCACATTCATCATTTCTGTAAGGCAGGGGGCATTTCCCATGAAAAATACTACCTCCTGCATACATTTTTTAATACGTTTGTTTATGTGTCAAAAGATGTACCCTCAGGCAGGGGATATAGTTCAGTTGATACTGTCCATGACGCCTTGGGTGTGATCTTCAGCACTGCAAAAAGTGGGCATGGTGTCTCTCTTGTAATATCACCACTTGAGGGTTGAGACTGGATAATCAGAAGTTCAAAATCATCTTCAGCTACATGGTGAGTCTGAAGGTAGCCTGAGTCACATGCAATCTACCTCAAAAAGAAAGAAAAGAAAAATTTGTATCCCATCATGCACTCCTGTAATCTCAACACTCCAGAGAGTAAGGCATAAAGATTGCAAATTCAAGGCTGAAACCCTCTACTAGGGAAGAGACTAAGGCCCCTGGGGAAAACCTAGGGCCGGAAGCCTACTTCCTTCACAACCTTGGAGACTGTCCTCTAGGCAAGACTCTCTGTGCAACAGGGGCAGGGATGGTCCTATGAAAACCTGACCCTAGTTCATAGCTGCACCTGGCACAGTAAAAGATGGGGGCAACCAAGGACATAGGGAGCCTAAGAAGTAGAAACAGCTCATTACCTAGAGCTTAGCAGAGGTGGATTCAAACTCTACCAGTTGTTTAATGTCATTTGGGAATGTCATCCAGCTGCCACCATCAACCACCAACACAATCCCTGAGACATAGGAAGCCAGGGGGCTGGCCAGATAGAGCACACTGTGGGCGATCTCCGTCTTGTTTCCAAGTCTTTGCACAGGGCTTGAAAGAGACTTTAATTTCACATTGTCCTGGGGGCCCCCTGGAAGGCAATAGAAAGTTAAGACCCATAACCCCCTAGAGCACAGTGTTTGCTGCTCCTCCCAGCCAGCACTCTCCTGGGCCCACATCTGGAAAAGATGGTTGTTCTACCAGCAACAGAAGATGTGCAAAGTGACACAGAATCCACAGGAGGGAAAGTGACACCGTCTAGGCAATGAGTGTATGGAGGCCCTAAGAGCAGGACAACTTAGACATAGTAGAAGGTTAAACATTTGGATAACTTCTTGACTGGAATAAAACAAAATGTTTGTTGTTTTTTGTTTATTTGTTTTTGTTTCCCAAGACAGGGTTTTTCTGTGTAACTCTGGCTATCTTGAAACTCATGTTGTAGACCAGGCTGGCCTGGAACTCAGCGATCTGCCTACCTCTGCCCCCTGAGTCCTGGGCTTAAAGGCATGCATCACTACTACCTAGCTGAAGACAGATTTTTTTTTAAAGCCCTGCTACAATCTCAGAAGTTTTGATGGATGTCCCAAACTCCCAAAGAGACTTACCCAATCGCCGCATCCCCTCTGTGCCACTGATGGGACCAGGAGCCAGGCTGTTGACACGGATATTCTGGGGACCCCACTCCACAGCCAAGTGCCGTGTCATAGCATCTGCATAGAAGAAATGCATACAGGAGGGCAAATCGTGAGGCAGTGCTGCCTCTGGTGTAGCCTAAACACCAGGGGAGCCCAGGGCCAAGTCTAGGCCTCTACAGTATCCAGGGCTGGGAGCAAGCTCATGTGCAGATCATCAGTCTCCAGGGATAGTCAAGAAGATAAGGTAATCCATGGGGAGCACTCATACCCACGGCTGCCTTGGCAGCACCTGCATGGAGCTGCAGCACCTGTCCCCGCATACTGAGAGTGGCTGTAATGTTCACAATCACTCCTCCATGGTCCTGAAACATACAAGGGATGACAATGAGTGGGTAGCCACAGGAAGAAAGGCCCCTGCCACAAGGATACCCACCCGGAAGAACTTCTCATAAAGCACACGAGACACATTGAAGGTGCCAATGGTGTCAATGTCAACCACAGTCTTAAAGGCATTGAAAGACAAAGCGCTGGCAGGACATAGGAAGTTTCCAGCTGCACCTGGAGAACAGAAGGGGAAAGCTAATGGGCTAAGCCCTGTCAAGAGTACAGTCAGAGTGTGGAGACCCCCAAAGTGGCCTCAGCCAGACAAGGCACAAGATAGAAGATTAGATGTAAGGCGTACAGTACAGTTTTTCCACCCGCCGCCCGGTCTTGTCCCACCGCCACGCCAGCCTTAATAACACACTGAGACTCTGTATTTGATATAATTCTTTTGGCCAGTTACTTGTTTCTTATCGGCTAGCTCTGTCTTAAGTATTAACCCATTTCTATGTATTTCCACATGTTCTTACCAGCGAGAGGCGGCTGGCGGTTCTAGTCTCTCCAGACTCTCCATGTTGACCCTCCTTCCTACTTCCTCTTTCCTCCTTGTCTCCTAGTCCCTCCTATCTTCCTTTCCTATTGGCCAACAATGCTTTATTCATTAACCAGTATGAGAAACATATACAGAATGACATCTCCCATCAATTAGATGCCAAGAAGTTAAGCTCTAAAACAATGTATGAAGATAGCAGTTGGGATAGAGGCAAAGGATCAGGAGTTCAAGGTCATCTTCAAGCACACAATAAGTTGACCCCAGCCTGGGCTATAGAAGATTCAATCTCACAAAGATAGACAGATAGATGGATAGATAGATAGATAATTTTTTTTGGTGTTTGTGAATATGACCTTATTTGAAAATAGTCTTTAGATAGAGTCTTTAGTTGGCATAATGGCCCAAGCTTTTAGTCCCAGCCCTTGGGAGTTCAAAGATAGCCTGGTCTACAGGGCAAGTTCCAGGACAGGTAGAGCTACACAGAAAAACCCTGTCTCAGGAAAAAAAAAAAAAAAAAAAAAAGATGGTGCCTTGATATGATAATAATATCAAGCATTCAGAAAATATAACATTTGAGTAATAGCAGATATTGTGAAGTCATTATATAGAACTCTGTTTTATCTGCTTAGTTATTCTGTAACCAACTTTTTTTTCTGGGACAATGATAGTAACCAGGGCTTTTTGCATGAGCTCAAATCCCAACTCTATTACTTTGATTTATTTGTTTATTTATTTAGAGACGGGGGTCTCTCTGTGTAGCTCTAGCTGTCCTGGAACTTAATATGTAACCAAGCTGGCCTCGAATTCCCTATGTAGACCAGGCTGGCCTCAAACTACAAGATCTGCTTGTCTCTGCCTTCTGAGTGCTCAGATTAAAGGCATGTGCCACCACACATGGGGAGGCAGCCCCATACTTTTATTTTAACACTTTAGTATATGTATATGTGCAATGTATGTAGTTGTGCATGTGCCATGGCATGTGGGGGTCAGAGGACAACCTGTGGTAGTGGAACCATTTTTTTCATCATGTGGGGCTTAGGGATATGACTCAGACCTAAGCTACTGAGCCACCTCACCAGCCCACTTTTTAAAGTGGAAATCTCAGTATACAAGAACACCCCAGAATTGTGACTTAGTCATGGTCACACCCAGCATAGCTCAGGCTTTGCTGACCCACTACTCAGAAAGAACAAAGATTGTCCAGGACAGAACCTGTAGCCTAGATTGTGCCTCTGGCAAATGCAAAGGTCATGGCACAATGATTGAGTCTTGCATCTGGCAACTGTGAGACCATAGTTGGGCCTGGACAAATACCTAGGCTCTCTGGCACAATCCTACCCCTGGCAACAGAGATCCAGAGCTTCCAAGCAGCACTATTGACCTATGAAAAGACTCTGCCCTCACTTATTGTGGACTCACAGTTAATAAGGATGTCAATTTTGCCAAACTCTTTCAGCGCCTGGTCCACAGCAGCCATAACAGCTGAGGGAACTCGGACATCCATAGATAGAGGGAGGCACCGCTTTCCAGTAGCAGCAACCAACTTTTCAGCAGCCTAGGCAGCAGAAAGAAAGAGGGTTGGCTAGCAGCTTCAGCCTGGAGAAGTAGCCTTTAAACCTCAATGGAAATGATACATTACATTAGCACCCCAAGTTTGCTGTGGTACCCTGCCAAGGGAGACTTGACTTGAAAGTAGCCACATCCTGGGGCCATGACCCCTGGTGGATGTTGGTAAGACATCTTGCATTCTCTATAACTTGCCATCTGTGTCTCAGATCCTACCTTCTTTCTGCCTACCTTGTAGGCATTTCCCCTCGACCTAGATGGGTAAGATGGTGACCTTCATAACGCTGGCAATCCTACTGAATAATTCTGGAACCATTATTATTTTCAAAAACATGGTCCAATAACCACATTTCTAAAAAGTCAAGGGTACCTATGAGGGTCCATTTAAATGAGTTCCTCTACACAAGAAGACAGATTTTGGTGTTTTTATCCCCTGGTCCTCAGGACTCTTTCCCACCCAAGTTCAGAACCCCACAGCCTTCCTCTCACCGTGGACACTCTTGACAGACTCCTGCTGGCGATGACAGTGTGGCAGCCATGCCTACAAAACCAGATGGCAGGCCTGAGAAGACAAGAATGAGGAACACACCCTGGGGGATCCTCCTACCAGTAACCATGTTACAAGGAACTCCCCCAAGAGTTTCTTAGGCTGAGGTAAGAAACAAGGCCGGCAGCAGGTACAGGACTCAAGCCAGGCTGAGTAATTCTGGAAGGACTGCTGGGCACTATGCTACTCCTAGGTTGCCCACTCCTAGATTTCTATGCTATGTCTCTGGCTTGGGATATTCTGACCCAAATACCATGTACATGGCAGAGAGGGTGTGGTGGGCTACCAGCGCCAATCCCAGATTTGTACAGGGCATTGGAGTGGAGGATAGAGAGCCCATTTCAAGAGACAACAATGGATGTGGTCTGCTATAAAGGTTGCACAAAACTACACTGATTTATGTAATACCCATGGCCAGCTAACACACAGAACTTTGTTCTACTGAGAGGAAATTGCATGAAGCCACCAGCTTCGAATAATAGTCTGTTATCTGGAACCAAAGTCACTTCAGGTTGTAAAAAGTAGACTACTGGGGAGAACTGGAGAAGGGCTCTTCGACCTCAACCTCAGCCTAATTATGAGCATCCACCAGCTTCAGCAGCAAGTTGCTAACCCTCTCATGATGCCACAAGACCTGTGTCCCAAGAGACACTCTTCCCCACCGTAGCAGTCCCCTTACAACCTGTGGCTTATCACACAGTCTCTCTCACATCTAGGAGACCCCTAAGGTCCTGTCTTTCCCCCAGGGCAGCATATAACCACTCCCCAAAAATCCATTAGGGCCCAGCCAAAGGGAAGTAAGGTGGTAGGGAGGGTCCCAGAGCAGTGTACCTCATGAAAATCTCAGCAATCCGGAAGCCAATCCCAGATCCACCACCTGTGATAAAGGCCACCTTGTCCCTTCAAAAAAGGAAAATGTCATTTTTTTTTAAACATTTATTGCCGGGCATTCATGGCACATGCCTTTAGTACCAGCACTTGGGAGGCAGAGGCAAGAGGATCTCTGTGGATTCGAGGCCAGCCTGGTCTAAAGAGCTAGTTCCAGGACAGACTCCAAAGCAATACAGAGAAATCCTGTCTCGAAAAACACATATGTATGTATGTATGTATGTATGTATGTATGTATGTATGTATTTTTTTCTCTATGCATGTTTTGCCCAAGTGCCTACAGATAGTTGAGCCCTCCTGTGGATGTTGGGAACCAAAGCTGATTCCTCTGAAAGAACACTAAGTGCTCTGAACCACTGAGCCATCTTTCTAGTCCATAGAATCTACTTTAAAATCACTGTTTTAGCCTGGTCGGGATGCATGTTGTTAATTCCAGCACTTGAGAGATGGGGGCAGGGCGGCCAGGAATTAAAGACCAGCATTAGCTACATAGTGAGTTTCAGGGCAGCCTGGGATACATGAGATTCTGTCTCAATAAACAAATCACTGGCCAGGCAGTGATGGTGCATGCCTTTAATCTCAGCCCTAGGGAGGCAGAGGCAGATGGAGCTCTATGAATTCGAGGCCATCTCAATGTACAGAGTGAGTTCCAAGACAGCCAGATGTACACAGAGAAACAATGTCATGAAAAACCAAAACCAAACAAATAAGTAAATAAATCACTGTTACAGAGGGTAAATAGGTAGCCAAAGGAGAACTTTGACCCCATGAACTTTCATCCAGTGTGGCTGTGAAAGAAAACATGCTACTACAGATGATGGAACCCAACGGATTTGCTAGACACAAATCGTCTTTAAACTCTGTTATTCTTGGGCTTCCTAGAAGTTCAGGGATGATGGGGGAGGAGGGGATATTTAACTAAAAATGCCCTGTATATAAGGCATCAAGTGAGACATTTTCAAAACGAACAAGGTTCCTCCTCTCTCAGTCCTTCAAACCATCCTTCCAGAACTCCAAGATCAGGTTTATGATCGCCCAAGAGCAGGGTAATGATCACCCGTCCAGAGGCAGATCCGTTCTGACCTCTGTGTCCCAACCCGGATCACTCCCTAGTTCCCTGCTTTAGCTCACTGGAGAAGGTCCGGACAGAAGAGGTGGTGATATTCAGAAAGACAATCGTCCTCCTCAACGTCGGGCGGCTGCTGGGCCATGGCGCTGTGTGCGGGCCGGAGTGCCAAGGACAGTAAAATTGGGAACCAAACCCTACCTTCCCAACGCTGAGCACAGCCTTCTTCAAGCTGCTGGCTCTGCCCAGAAACACCCTGGACCAGAGTCCCACCCCCACGGCACCCCGCCCACCAGACGCTCTCTGCAAGGAGGCCCCGCCCACAACGAGGTGCCTCGTCCCTCCATGCCTTCCTATCGCACGCCCTCCCGCGACTCTCCGCCCTCCAGGTCTTCCCATTCCACCCCGCGGGCACCCCACCCATGGTAGCGCGCGGCCTGCTGGGACTGCGAGGGGGGGGGGAGGAGGCGCTGACGCAGACGCATTGGGAAGCTCCCGCCTGTTAAACCCCAGAGTCCATTCCAGTTGACTGCAGCCACTTGGTCCTTGTATCCGGGTTCTGGAGACGGTGTGGAAGTCGGGACTCCTGACGAGCACCACTCTGCCTCTTGGACACTCCCTCATAGTGCAAAAGGATCGGGAGTCTGCAAAGCCAATAGCTCCCTCGCGTGGCTAGTCCGGGTAAAATAAAATCCCAGAGCCACCTCTTGGTGGCTGACCAGGATCACAGCACTTGATCCAGATTTTCGTGAAGCTGCTCAGGCAGACAGACAGGTGCGGAGAACACAGGACTGGATTCCATCAAGATGTTAATTAGCGGCCATATGTATCTGCTACTTATGTCAGCCATTTCAGGATCCGGGGTGAGATGTGACTTGCATGTATCAACGTGAAAATAAAAAGACGTCAGGGAAAGGTCTCTGTCACAGATCACTCAGGTCAGGAGTGGAGGATGCACTCTGGTGCCTGGGTTGCTTTGAGAGAAAGATGAGAGTAGCCGCTGAAGTGTAAGTTTTCTGCTGTTCCGACCTCAAGGACTGGCACCCCTACCCACAGGCTCTGTACCTTGAAGAGGCCTTAGGCTCCACCCATCCCTTGCTACCACCCTCTCTCAGAATTATCATACAGCCAGAAGCTGTAATAGCACCAGGCAAAGAATTTCGTTAGGATTCTCGATTGCATGACTCTGAACTCTTGCCTGGTTTATATTATTTTCCAAAATCAAGGAATTCTCCTCCTGGGGTAGTAAAGTTGTAAGCCTCAAGCCTACTGTTTACACCTTGCATAAAAAGCACTCATTAGAGTGCTGGAATAAAGGGATTTTCTCCAGATATGAATACTGGACATCATGGAGCAGACATTGTTATAGTGACCTATAAAATGCTTGGCCCTGCAGTCATGCTAATGAAATATGTAAAATAACAGAAAATAAGTTCCAGTGATAGCTGGAACTAGGGTAGTGGTAATCTAGGGCATCACAGAATCTTTGCCTTAGATTCCCCACCTAGTACTCTCTCCAACTCTCAGGTGTCTCAGGGCAGGAATCCGAGGTTATATAAGAGGTAGGTTAACTGAAAGCAGGGTTCTATTGTGCAGTTAGTTACCTTGATGTTATTACCTATGCTGGGTGGGACTTGTCAGTGATTTAGCTGTTCTGAGGTCACGAACCCTCATCCTTGTCTCTGTCATTCAGTAAACTCATGGGTTCACCAAGCTGGGAAGGTATGGAATTGTTACTGTGGTATGTTGTTTTGCCCTGTGTGGGGTGAACAGGTATTTGTTCACTCTCCCCAAGAAAGGTCACACAATACTGAGATGGCAAAAATAAGTATGCCATTCCCATTTTAATCAGAAAATTTTAATGTCTCTCCTTTGGGGCAAGCAAAATCACCTCTGACAATGTCCCAAAGCGGTCTGGCACTTCGGTATAGAAGGATATGATCCAATATTGTGCTGTCTTAGGATACAAAAAGGCACATAAAGTTGAGGCTTAGACTCCCCTGGGCTGGAGTTAGACAAAAGGTCTAACCAGGGAGTGGTTTGGGAGATGGGAAGGGTGTGGGCTTGAGTTCTTGTTGGCAGAGGTAGTTGTTCATGGATGAACCCTGAAGTGTGGAGGGTAGTTCAAAGCCTCAGGCTGGGCAGCAACTGCTGTGGTTACCCCCATCTGCCCAGGTCAACAGTTCGCTGCTCTGAAACCACAGCTGGATTTCCCTCTGGGCTCCTTCCACAGAATCGCTAGCGTGGATGATATTCCTGCAAGAGGTGGAAAAGGTAACAGGGAAACAAGGTGATGGTATAGAAGAGAAAGGAAGTTTGGAGCTGGTTATTGTGCTACAAGCTTGTAATGCCAGCACTGAAAGAGCTGAGGTGGGAGGAAGGATTGCTTCAAGTTCTTGGCCAGCCTGGATTATAGAGGGAGACCCAGTCTTAGGAAGGAAGGAAGGAAGGAAGGAAGGAAGGAAGGAAGGAAGGAAGGAAGGAAGGGCTGGAGAGATGGTTCAGCAGTTAAGAGTACATTCTCTTGCAGAGAACCTACCTGAGCTTGGTTCCCAGCACCCAAATAAGGCAACTCAAAACTATCTGTAACTCCAGCTCCAGGGCATCTAACCCTCTTCTGGCTTACACAGGCACACACACACACACACACACACACACACACACACACACACACACACACACCACACATGAAGGAAGAAGGAAGATGAGAGCTAGAGGTGTAACACAGTTGGTAAAGTGTTTTACCCAGAATGCACAAAGCCCTAAATTTGATTGCCAGCACTAAATACACCAGGCATGGCAGTGCATGTCCCAAGACTCCAGTACTTGGGAGGTAGAGGCAGGAAGATTACAAGTTCATGGTCATCCTCAGCAATATAATCAGTTTGAGACCAACCTGGATTACATGAGATCCTATGTGGGGGGCGGGGGGGGGGGGTCTAGGCTGGGTTCAGTTTCTTGCAAACTCAGAAGCCAGCCTATACACCAGCCACCAGCTTCTAAGTGTTGCCTTCCCTACCAGCCATCAGAGCCAAGCCCTCACGGTTGTTGACCAAAATCAAATACTAAAGAGCCAGGGGAAAAGGACTTAGACAGACATGGTAGCATACTGTAAGCTCAGGTGGTAGAGGCCTGAAGATCAGGAGTTTAAGACAGTCTGAACTACTTAATAAGTTCAAAGCTAGCCTGGCCTACCTGACAACTTAACTTGGTTATAGCAAACACCTCACCATCAGAAACTTTCAGCCCAGCAAGACACATAGTTCTCAAGGATCTGTCTCCCCCTCAAAACAAAACAAAACAAAACAAAACAAAAACAGGGTTTCTCTGTGTAGCCCTGGCTGTCCTGGAACTCACTCTGTATAGCAGGCTGGCCTTGTCCTCAGAGATCCACCTGCTTCTACCTCCCAAGTGCTGGGATTAAAAGTGTGTGCCACCATCCACAGTTTCAAGGATCTGTCTTAAGTACAGTCTGCCATTCTAAATTAGCCTTCTTACCCTACATTGGGAAACAAGGGTGTCAGGGCCTCCATACCTGCTGATGTGAACACTGAAGTCTCCCCTGATCGTCCCAGGGGCTGCCTCGGTTGAGTCAGTGTGTCCTATCATGGTCCTTGAGATGCGGACTACATTGTGCCCTTCCCAGACCTACAGTACAGATATGAAGGTTGGAGAAAAGCCAGGGGACCCCAGGTGCTCTGGGCTCAATCCAAGCCCTTTCTTTTGCTTGGGGGGAGGACACCCCACACACCCATTCTATTGACCCAGCCCTGCTGTACCATGGCCACCACAGGCCCAGAACTCATGTAGCTGATAAGGGCTGGGTAGAACGGCTTCCTCTGTAGGTCCCGGTAGTGCTCAGCAAGAATGCTCTCTGGTGCCTGTGTGGAAGGAGGAGTAAGAAGAACCTTTGGAGAGTAAGCCACAATTGGTGTCCTGAATTTGGGGTACCTTTCTGACACAACGCCGGAAGCTGGTTCCCACAATGGTTACCTCCCAATCCTTGTGACTGCCAGTGCTAGGAGACTAGGGACACCACATGCCAAAGATTGATACCTGCAACATCTTCATCCCCACCAGCTTGAAGCCCCGCCTCTCAAAGCGTTCTATCACAGTCCCCACTAGCCTCCGCTGCACCCCATCTGGCTTCACAGCAACCAGGGTCCGCTCCTGTGGCCAGGAAGGCCCTCCTGTAAAAGAGGTCAAGGGGGTGAAGATGCTTCACATTTCCGGGTCTCTCCCGCCTAGATTCCTGACAGAGCTCAGATATCAGAGGACTAGAAGGGGACTGACACCATGTAGGATGATCTGGAAGCACAAACACAAATGGGAGCTTCCCTGGCAGAAGCAGAAGCTGCCCAAGGTGGAGATGGTTCCCCAAAAAGGCTCAGATAACTTAGGAACCAAAAAGGCTTAGTGATGATGCCCCGCAGGAAGAAAACTTGAGCCTCATGACTCCAGTGAACCTCGGGCCTACACACTAGGAGTTTATCCTTTGGGTGTGGAGAAAAGGCATGAGACCAAGCAGAGTTAGTGCATTACTTCCAGGTGGCCTGAGTGCTGGGGACAAAGGGATATGACAGTGATTGGTGGGGGGGTTATCCACACTGCAAGACAGGAACTCAGCTTCGGGGAGGGGAGGGGTTCAGGCTGCCTCAGGAGAACACTGTCATGGAGTCTGCTGTTGTCTTCATGCTTCTGCGGCTCTAAGCCACAGCCAGAACACTGTCTCCTCCAAGATCAAATGCTACTTTGTTTTGTTTTTGTTTTTGAGACAAGGTTTCTCTGTGTAGCCCTGACTGTGCTGTTACTCACTTTGTAGACTAGGCCCGCCTCTGCCTCCTGAGTGCTGGGATAAAAGGCAGATACCACCACCACGGGCTCAAATTCTACTTTTAGAGGGTCCTAGCCCCTGGCTGTCTCTCAAAAGAAAGGAGAAACACCATGTTTAAGTTAGAAAGGAGGGATCAAGCTCCATCCTCAGTCCACAATGGGTATTCACTATAACTCAACAAGCTGAATAAAACCCAAGGGAGGAAGTCTCACTAACCTGCTTGTCCCCCTACCAGAGATGACAGGGGACCCAGGATAGCCCCAGAGCTCTAATGCCAACTGCTGTGTGTCTTGATGAGACTGATCAATTTCCAGGGTGGATAAAAGGAGCACAAGTTATTTGGCTCTCAGAAAGCATTCCATGATAGGGTAGCAAGAGCAGGGACCCCAGGAAGTGGCCGGGTTGTCTTGGGCCTGCTCTGGCTCAGTGCTGGGAACACGGCTCCGCGGAGAGAACATGACCCGCAGCCCCCCACCCCTTAGGAGGCACGAGTCTGCTAGTCTTCCCGCTTTGGTTTTCTTCTGCTAAAAGCCCTGACTCTGGCTCCTGGGGATTGCGCTTCCACTGGTCCTTCGGAACAAAAACCAAGCTTTCAGCTGCCGCACGTACGCAAACAAAGGACGCGCGGCAGCCATCTGCCCAGCTCCCCACGGATGCAGGACTCACCGGATCTGGGGCGCACCAGCAGGCCTGGAATGCGTGGCCCGCACAACAACGCCCTCAGCGCGGCGCGCTCAAAGAGGGAACCCATGGTGACGCCAGGCGCGGCGCGGAACGCAGCGCACACTGGGCAGAAGGCGGTGCCACGCTTCGGCCCGCCCTGCCCTGCCCCCATCCCAAGGGGCCGGTGGGGCCCCTCACCCTGTTCCACCAGAGCTGGCCGACTCGGAGCTGTAATCTCCGTTAAAATCAGTAGAAAACGGCTAGATGCAGTTCAGTGACAGAGCGCTTGACTGGCATGTACAGAGCCTTGGGCTCGACCTCCCTAGTACTGCAGAGGGGGAAAAAAAAGAAAAAAAATGCAGTCTTCCATTCAGAGTTTAGATTAAACTCGTCTTCGTACCGCACAGTCAAACATGGTAATTGTACTTCATGGAGAATAACTCCCGTAAATACCAGTTGGGTCTGTTTAGCTGGATTTGGCAGTTGGGCTAGTTGACTAATTATATTACTACATCCTTAACTATTCAGAGTATTTATTTATTGGAAATTTTATTTTGTTTAAGCATTTTTTCTTTTTTTTCTTTTCAGGTTAAAACTTTTTTTTTTTTTTTTTTTTTTTGTAATTTACAAGCTTGGCTGTAGTGGTGCACACCTTTAATCCCAGCAATCCTGGAGGCAGAGGCAGGCAGATTTCTGAATTTGAAGCCAGCCTGGACTACAGAGCAAGTTCCGGGACAACCGGAGATATTCAGAGAAGCCCTTCTAGAATACCCCTGCCCCCCCCAATTTATTTACATATGTTTGTGCATAACATACAATTGTAAGCTGTCCCACATAGGTGCTGAGAACCAACTCAAATCCTCTGGGAGAGCAGAAACTGTTCTTACCACTGAGCCATCTTTCCAGCAACTTTTACTTTTATTTTCAGTGTATGTTTGTTTGTCCTAATGTCTGTCTGGGCACTACCTGCCTGTAGTGCAGAGGAGGCCAGAAGAGGACATTGGATTCTCTAGGTCTAGAGTTACATGAGCCATCTCTCCAGCCCACATTTTGTTTGTATTTGTGGGTTTGATTTGTTTTCTTTTCCTTTTCCTTTTTTTTTTTTTTTGGTGTGTGTGTGTTTTGAGACAGGGTCTCTCAATGTAGTTCTGGCTGACCTGGAACTTACTCTGTAGACTAGAAGACAGAGATATGCCTGCCTCTGTCTTCTAAGTGCTGGAATTAAAAGGTGTTTGCTACTATACCCAGCTTTTTTTTTTTTTTAAACAGGAAGGTCGCCTGAACATATGTCTGTATATCATATGTGGAAGCTGGGAATTGTTTTTGTTTGTTTTGGTTTTGGTTTTTGTGGGGGTTTTCTTGGTGTTTTTTTTTTGTTGTTGTTTGTTTGTTTGTTTTGTTTTTTTGAGACAGGGTTTCTCTGTATTGTTTTGGAGTCTGTTCTGGAACTTGCTCTGTAGACCAGGCTGGACTCACAGAGATCTGCCTGCCTCTCCCTCCCGAGTGCTGGCCACCAATCCACCAATGCCTAGTTTTGTTTTGGTTTTTATGATAATATTTTTTATTTAAATTTGAAACAAGCTTGTTTCACGTGTCAGTCCAGGTTCTCTCACCCTCCCCTCCTCTCATGTCATTTTTCTTTGTTTTTAATGACAGAGGCATAATTCTTGCTACTGTCCCTGAGTTCCATATTTAGCAGAGGCTGGCTTTGAACCCATGTCTTCATGCCTCTCCTGTCTCTACTGCTGAGATCACAGGAATGCTCTCCCAGACCATACTCACATTATTTATTCATTTAACATGTAATTTATTATTATTGGGGGGTATTTCAAAACAAGTTTTCTCTGTGTAGTTTTGGAGACAGTCCTAGAATTTGCTCTGTAGACCAGGCTGGTATTGAATTCACAGAGACCCACATGCCTCTGCCTCCCAAGTGCTGGGATTAAATGCATTCAACACCATTGCCTGAGAGCATTTTGTTATTCTTTTTTTTTTTTTTTAAAGATTTATTTTGTATATAGTATTCTGCCTGCATGTATCCCTTCAGGCCAGAAGAGGGCACCAGATCTCATTTCAGATTGTTGTGGGCCACCATGTGGTTGCTGGGAATTGAACACAGGACCTCTGGAAGACCAACCACTGTTCTTAACCACTGAGCCATCTCTCCAGCCCCCGTTTTGTTATTATTATTTAACATAGTTTTCTCCTTTATTTCTCCTCCTTCTCTTCTTTTTCTTTCTTTAGATAGGGTCTCATGGTATATCTGGCTGGCCTGGAACTAGTTATGTAAACCATGCTGGCCTCGAACTCAAAGTTCTATCCAAGTACGGGATTAAAAGCATTGGCACTAGCTGGTTGTGGTGGTGCACTTCTTTAGTATCAGCACTCAGGAGACAGAGGCAGGTGGGTCTGTGTGTTCAAGGCAACTCTGCTCTACAGAGTGAATTCCAGGACAGCCAGGGCTACACAGAGAAACCCTGTCTCAAATAAATAAATAAATAAATAAATAGCGGGGCTTGGGAGATGGCTCAGTGGTAAGAGCACAGGATGCTCTTCCAGAGGTCCTGAGTTCAATGCCAGCAACCAGATGGTGGCTCACAAACATCTGTAATGCAGGCAGAACACTGTATACATAATAAATAAATCTTTAAAAAAAAAGCATTATCAGCATGTTCAGCTGTTTTTATTTATTTAGGGAGGAGAGTATGTAGTGTATGTACATATGAATGAATGTGTGATATATGCTTATGTGTGTGTATGCAAGTGTGTATGAGATATATACATGTGTATGAGTGTGTGAGATGTATACACATGTATATGAGTGTGTATATGTGAGATCTATGCCCGTGTTTGAGTGTGTTTGTGAGATGTATGCATATATATGAATGTATGTGAGAGATGTATATACATGTGTGTGAGATGTATGAACATATATATGACTGTGTCTGTGAGATGTATGCACATGTGTATGTGTGAGATATATGCACATTTATGTAAATATATGCTTCTGTGCAAAGGCCAGAAGACAGTGTCCATCACTTTCTACCTTATTCTTTTGGGGCAGTATCTCTCCCAGAACATGAGCTCTTGTTTCTTTTAGTAGGCTGGTGGTGAATAAGACCTTCAATCCTCCTGTCTTTACTACTCTCCACATTGCTGGTGCTGACCGTTGTTCTCAGGACCATGCCCAGCCTGTTACATAGGTGCTGAAATGCAGACTCATCCTCCTTGATGTGCAGCAAGTGTTCTTAAGCACAGAGCCAGATCTCCAGCATCTATTGTTGTGGTTGTTGTTCAGAAAGGATTTCTTGTAGCCCCGCTGTCAACTCATCGTATAGCTGAACTTCTGATTCTCTTTCTCTACCTTTCAGGTGCTGGTATTACAAGCACGGATTGCCCAGTTCATACCATGTTGAGGTTCAAACCCAGAGCCTGTGCGTGTTAGCCAAGTGTTCTACCATTCCCCACAAAAGTTTGATTATTTTGAGATGAGTCTTAACCTGTAACCTAGCCTAACCTGGGGCTCACTTTGTAGCCTTTGAATTTAAAATCCCTGTGAATGTTGGGGGTCCTGGCTTGCAACACCAGGCAAGACTCGGCATTGATTATTATTGTTGTTGTTGTTTATTCTTTTACTATTTTATGTGCATCAGTGTTTTGCCTGCATGTATGTCAGTGTGAAGGTGCTGATCTTCTGGAACTAGAGTTGCAGACAGTTGTGAGCTGCCATGCTGGGAATTGAATCGAGGTCCTCTGGGAGAGCAGACATTGATTTTAACTGCTGAGCCATCTTAACTACTCCTAACTGCTGATCCTTTTAATTTATTTTTTATGAATGTGTTGTACCTCTGTGAATTTGTGTATATCACATACATTCAGATGTTCTCAGAGGCCATTAAATATCAAGTTATAGAGGGTTGTAAGCCACTTTATAGGTACTGGAGTCTGATCCCAGGTCCACTGCAGGAAATACCATAACCTCTGAACTATCTCTGTGATGATTCTTAAGGTTCACTGGGTTGTCTGAATTGGTTGATTAATGCTTTTCTTCATGTCTGAAAAATATAGGTATTTCATCAAATATTTTTCTGTCTGCTTCTCTTTCCTGTTTTCTTGGAACTCTAATTTCCCTTTGGCCCTTTTCCAACCCCTGCTTAAGTTACTGCAGAAAGCATGTGGGGATGAGGGCTGCTTCGAGGGAAGGAGGGCCCAGGGTAGTAGCTCCCATATGCCAGGTCAGGTAAACCAGTGAGAGATACCAAAAGAAGCCTTCACACCCAAGTACGATGATTGATGACCGCTCTCCCTCCATTGTTTGGAATAGGGCAAAGACACTTGTCTAGACCCCTGTGCCAGTACAGATGGACCTTACCCCAGGCTCATCACAGGCCAGAGTGTTTGCTTGAGGTTGTTGCCTGCAGCTTTCATCTTCTGGTTCATTAGTACCCAACATCTGTAGGCACTTCCAGGAAGGATCAACTGACAGGAAAGACCTTCCTGAGTTGAGGGAAGGGCAGATATAAAAAGTTCAGAGGTAAGAGCTGGGTTCCTCCCTTGCTTGCCTTCTCTTCTAGGTGGTTGAGGGGTCTAACCCTTCATTGCTGCTACTCCATCCCTTGCCAACACCAGAATCCAGTTGCTTCAGCCTTTGAGGACTAAGGGACTCTGTAAAGGAGTCTAAGAAATGATGTGTTGACTGTCAGCACTGCTGTGCTACTCAGCTGCATGGACTGAAGGACTGGTTTCTTACTCTTTCCAGTCTGCAGATGACCCCTATTGGCCTCCCTAGCACCATCACCTGTAAGCCACTCTAGTAACCCCTTTCTCTCTCACACACATCTTTTACATTTTTAGTTATTTACTTTGTGTGTGGGGGGTGTAGAGGCAGGGGAATCTGACAACACTATGCACAGGTGAAGGTTAGGGACAACTTGCAGGAATTGCTTCTCCCACCTGGGGATAGAACTCGGTCAGGTCTTTAGGCTTAGCAGTAAGTGCCTTTGTTTGCTGGGCCATCTCACTGTCCCCATCACACATACATTTCACTAGTTCTGTTTCTCTAGAGAACCCTAAGACATATACACAAAATGGGGATAAATAAGGAACATAATGGCTTGGGGTGTGGTTCAATTGTGCATAAGGCCCTGAGTTTTAACCTTGGAATGGAGAGGGAGAGAGTAAAAACAA